CACCCAGACTAGAGTGCAGTGGCTGCTCCCGGCCACTGCAGCCTCGACCTGCTGGACTCCGGCGATTCTTCCACCTCAGCCTTCCAGGTAGCTGGAATTACAGGCATGCACTACCACGCCTGGGTAATTTTTGATATATTGTAGAGATGAGGTCTCACCAAGTTGCCCAGGTGGGTCTTGAACCCATGGGCTCAGGCAGTTGACTCACCTCAGCCTTCCAAAGCGCTGGGATTACAGGCTGAGCCACCTAGCCCGGCTAAAAGTGCATTACTTTTATCTTCATACAAATTGAATGTCATCTTCTCAGCACCATGACTTGGGAGGTAATAACAATTTCAGAAGAAAAATAGCATCTTTCTCAAACGAAGAACCTTGTTTCTATACTGCTATGCCACTTTTACTTGGTATTGTTAGGTTTTTGTTGTTTATTTTTTGAGTTGGGGTCTTACACTCTGTCATCCAGGCTGGAGTGCAGTGGCACGCTCACAGCCACCTCAGCCTTGACCTGCTGGGCTCAGGGGTCCTTCCACCTCAGCATTCTAAGTAGCTGGAACTACAGGCGTGTGCTACCACACCCAGCTAATTTTTTTACTTATTGTAGAGACGAAGTCTCGCCATCTTGGCCAGGCTAGTCTTGAACCCCTGAGCTCAGGCAATCTACTCACCTCAGCCTCCCAAATTGCTAGGATTACAGGCTTGAGCCACTGAACTGTCTTCAGTTCCATTGGAGTTAGACATCACATGTTATTTTTTTTTAGATTAAAAAATACAGTTTATTTAAAAAATTAGAAAAAGAAGGGAGAAAATTCACCTCCCCAAGGTGGGAGAGGGGGCCAAAGCCAGGAAGCATGGTGACAGCCATAGCTCAAAGAGCACATGGCCACACCAGAGTCTAGCAAGGCAATGGCCCCACATCTGTTACTTTATCAGCTTTGCTTGAGGGAAAACTTGCTTAACTGCTTTCCTACCACATTTAAATGCCTATGTAGTTTTCTTCTGCAGATTTTTCTTCCTTGTAGTTATATCACTTAGCAAAACTGTCGCAAAGCTAGAACTGAAGCCAGTCTTACCGTCTCTGGAAAGAGCCTTGGACGTATGAGCAGAGGTGCAAGGGCCATCCCAGTGCTTCAACAACTGTCCTCCTCTATAAGTGGGCATTATCTTCTCTCCCCTTTCTAAAATTGCTCCTTGGGAGATCATCCTAGTTAATATGTGTAAAGTGCTTGGAGATGTAGCACAGTGTACAAATTAATACTGTCCAACTGTAGCGGGAAGATAGGTTGTGACACCGAGACTATTATAGGAAGTGACAACTTTATTACGCCGGCGGGCTTGACGGGCTAACACTTCCGGGCTAACACTTCCAGGTTGAGCCCCCCAGAACGGGAGAAGAGAGGTCTTACACCTTTGTTTAGGTAAGGGAGGGAGTCATGTTGAGCAATTACACATTTTCTTTGGAATTTACAAGGTTGTGTTCAGAAAAATCAGATCTTTCAAAGAACAAATGGTCTCCAGGAAATGCAGGGCCAGCAGGGGCTGTAACTGATAAGGAGAGCAGTTGTGAATTGGATACTCTTTCTTTTGCATTTCCATGAGAGCCATCAGTCTCTGGCCATTTGGCCTTTTTCAAACAAAACCAGCCTTGCCACTTGACTTTCAAAAGGAAATACCTTCAACTGCTACCAGCCCCCTTTCTGCCACAGGGTTAGTGGGAGACAGTCTGTCATCCCAGGTGATTGCCATGGGGCCAACTGCTGACCCCAAAGCAGTTATTCATGTGTTTCTGCGTTCATTCATTCAACTGTACAAGAAATGTATTTGAGCATTTGCCACATTCTGCCACACAACTGCTTCTACAGATCAATGCATTTCCCCGTATTTTTCGCTTGAGTATTTTTGGCAGTTTTACCTTTCTCATGTACGTGAAGAGGTCAGTGTATGTAGTTTAAACTGGATACTCAAGGGGCTGGGTGTGGTGGCTCACACCTATAATCCCGGCACTTTGGGAGGCCAAGGTGAGAGACTTGCCCGAACCCACAGGTTCGAGACCAGTCTGGGCAACATGGTGAGACCGTGTCTCCACAGTAAACCAAAAAATTAGCCGCGTGTGGAGGCACATGCCTGTGGCTTCCAGCTACTTGGAAGGCTGAGGCGGAAGGATCGCCTGAGCCCCGCAGGCCGAGGCCGCAGTGGCCGTGGGTGAGCCGCTGCGCTCCAGCCTGGGCGACGGAGTGAGACTCCGACTCGTACCAGAAGGGGAATGCGAGGACAGGGCTTAGGAGTGCAAAAGGGCGGGGCTGCTGGCCGTCGTGGGCACCTGCATAATGAACGTTCGTATTCCCAACCCTGGATTGCACTCCACATCCTTAAAGTTGAAACAAACTTAAAGTAAAAGCACGAGAGAGGATCACGGTGCGGGTTGCGAAGCTGAAGGAGACCCTCCTGAGCACACGGTCACGGCCGAGGTCCGGGCAGTGTCGGCGGCATGCTTCCGTCCGGCCTTGCTTGGGAGGGGCCGGGCTCCAGCCGCGCCGAGTCCTCGGGCGCGCGTCCGCTGTGGGGCCCTCGCCGGGCGTCCCGCCGGCTGCCCGCGG